TTATCAAATTTACAGCTTCACAAACATGGCTAACATGCCTTGACCATTTCTCCAGGGTGCTAGGAGGAAGGAGGGTCATGAATCAGTTGCAGGAGCAAATTCAGGGGCTGGGGGCCACCAGGGGGTGAAAGTGGAGGCACAGGACAGGACTGGAACTCTGCAGCAGGAACCCTTCACACAACACTCAACTTACTTGGGGACAAGTCAGGAACAAGACATGGACACAGGTCAGCAGGCTCTTAGACCACAGGGACATGGTGAACCTAGGTGGACCTTGAGAGATAGAGACCCCCAGAACCTCAGGGTGAGCTGGAGCTGGAGTTGGTGATAGCACAGAGGTGGGGGAGAGGTAAGTACATCCAACGCTCACGTGTAGACAGACAGGCCAGCACCCATCCTGGTGGGGGGAGGGTGGGGAAGTGGAGCCAGGGAGCTCCTCCTATTGACCAGGGGGAGCCTAACTCAGTGCTCCTCCTGCCCTGTTGAGCCAAGGTCTTCTGGGTTGGGGCATGGGGGCACTGAGGCTGAGCCCTGCCAGGAAGAAGCAGGAGGGGCTGGAGCTGTGATCTAGAGCCCCTTGGGGAGCTGGGGCTCCAACCCCTTTAGGGACTTCCTGCCCCAGGCTGTGGGAGCTCAGCCTGCAACTGAGCTCCATACTGAACTGCCTGGAGAGTTCTTCAGACCAGAGTAGTCAGTGCCTGCAGTGACCCTCAAAGGCTGCACCCCTGCCCCCAGCTTGGATCTCGTGATAAGCATTAGCAAGCCTTTAGTTGGGTGGGGCAGAGTTAGTTCATGCAACAACCAGCAGAAAGTCAGCATGGTCCAGACTTCCATCCAGCCCCACCTCCGATCCCCAGATGGTTTTAGCACTGCCTGCAGGGGAAGGTCTTAGCTCCAGCCAAGGAGAAGGTGTGGATGGCACTGGGCTGCCCAAATGCCTGGTTGCTGGGACTAGGGCTTCCTGTGCTAAACCCAGGCAATCCGGTGTGAGTCAGGGTAGTGAGCTGCCTAGCCAGCACCCTGCACCTGGTACCCTCAGCCCCAGGACAAGCTCCTGATTTAATGGCATCCCATCTTTCAGAAGCCCGTGTGAACTGCTCTGTCCACCCACTGCTGCTAGAGGACTCGCCCTCCTGCCCCAACCTCTATGCCAATTGGCTGGTTATCCTTCTGCTGGTCACCTTCCTGCTGGTCACCAATGTGTTACTCATGAACCTGCTCATCGCCATGTTCAGGTGCCCTCGCCTTGCTCAGGTCATTCTGCCCTTGCTGTGTCCACACAGGTCCTGGGGACCTCGCTGCTGGGTCCACCAGCAGTGGGGGGGGGGCGCGGCCCAGAGTGTGTGTGAGTGGGGAGTGGGTCCACCCTGGTTCCATGGGTCCTTCTTCCTCCAGGAAGCAGGCCCAGATCTGCACAGGCATGGTGGGGTGGAGCTCCAGTGTGAGTGGAGAGCTTCAGGTATCTGGAAGAGCAGGAAGCGGAAGGGCCCCCTGTGGGTGGGCCTCACTGCGGCACCCCTAGAGACAACTGTAGAGGGGATGCTAAGCTTCAGTCTCTGAAAGGCTCCCCATGGCTCTGGGACACCCAGCCTACTCCTGGCTGCACTGGGGGACAGGTTGTGTGCCAACGGGTGAGGATCAGTGGAGTAAGGACCCAGTGTGTGCCCTGCAGCTACACATTCCAGGTGGTACAGGGCAACGCTGACACCTTTTGGAAGTTCCAACGCTACCACCTCATTGTGGAATACCATGGGCGCCCCGCTTTGGCTCCGCCCCTCATCCTCCTCAGCCATTTGAGCCTGGTGCTCAAACGGGTTTTCTGGAAGGCAGTCCAGCACAAGCGAGAGCACCTGGGTGAGGCTGTGGGCAAAACCTTGCTGTCCCAAGGGCCCCTTGGGGAGGCCAGGGCCCTGGGGCTCCTCACTGGGCTCTGTCCCAGACCCAGAGCAGAGGCCCAGGAAGCACGAGGTCCACCCTTGCCCACCTACCTTGTAACCCAGCTGGGTGCTCTTGCCCTGGAGCTCCCCAAGTTAATCCAGACTTGGGGTCTGCCCAGAGAGAGACCTGCCAGACCCCCTGGACCAGAAGATCATCACCTGGGAAACTGTTCAGAAGGAGAACTTCCTGAGCAACGTGGAGAAGAGAAGGAGGGACAGCGAGGGCGAAGTGCTTCGGAAAACTGCCCACAGGTGTGGGGGAGGGCAGCTTGCAGGACCCAAGACCAGTTGGGGTACCTGTCATTTTCAGTGGTAGGGGGTTGAAATGCCTTAAAGTGGCCCTCTGGTGTCAGTGACAGGATACGGGCTGGGAAACTGAGGTTGAGGGAGCAGGGACCTGGCTACTCTGGAGTTGGGGAACATGGGCCAAGAAGCCTGGCATCTCCCTGCTGTGGGACTCTTCCTTCTTTCCATCCCCAGCCCTCCCTCCATGGCTGCATCCCCTTTGGCTCACTGGTGTGCCCAGAGCATGGATGGACCCCAAGCCCCTGGGAGGGCACAGAAATGCTCTGTACCTGTAGACTAGGCCCCAAGAAGCCCTCAGTCCTACCAGCCCCTGATCAGGAACAAGGGAAGAGTGGACAAGAAGGGTCCACAGTACCAGGCTGGGACACTCAGAGGCCTGGTGACAGGCAAGGGATGGGAAGCTCCCCTATACAGAGTGCAGTGCCACATGCTGCCACAGCCCACAGCTGCCCCTGCTCCTCCACAGAGTGGACTTGGTTGCCAAGTACCTTGGGGGACTGAGAGAGCAAGAGAAGCAGATCAAGTGTCTGGAGTCACAGGTAAGCTGGCAAGCAGTGCTCCCCTGGGGGTACAAGAGCAGAGGGCCCCGATAGGGCGGAAGAGGCCTCAGGGCAGAGACACATGTCAGCCTGCCACTGCCCCAAGTTACTTGAGACCAGGTAGCCTCCCAGAGCTGGTCCTGCAGACCCAAGGGTCTCACAATTCAGACTTTCACCATCCACTTGCCACATACTGTATAGAACCACGCCCAGAGGGAGGAGGGAGCCTGTGGAAGCAGGAGGGGGTACAGGTGGATGTGGGGGGCATCCCCATGTCCTGGCATCTTCCTGCCCCCACCCTCCAGGTAAACTACTGCACACTGCTCCTGTCCTCCATGGCGGACACACTGGCCCCAGGTGGTGCCTACTGGAGTAAGTGCATCCAGGGCATTGGGGAGTGTGGGCAGGGCTCTGCTCCACAATGGTCTGGGCTTCCCAACCTGCTCTGGAGGCCTCTGGTGCCCTCACTGGCTTCTGCTCCTGGGCAGTGCAGGTGCCAGCCAGCCAGGACACAAGGCCTTGGGATCCTCAGATCCCTGAGACCCTGCCTGGTGCTGCTAGTCCGGACATTCATTTTGCTCTGGGCTGTTTCCCAGGGGTATCCTGTGGGAACCCACTCTGAGGACCACCATGTCCTGGGCCTCATCTCCTAGGCCTGCCCAGGCTGGCATTCAACAGCTGAGGAAGGGCCTTTCTTCCCACCAGGCTCTCAGAACTGTGGGGGCAGGAGCTGGAAAGCCCCTTCAGGCCACAGAGGGGCTCCTGGTGGCCAGGAGCACCCAGAGGCTGTCCACCCTCAGGCACCTGAGCTGCATGGCCTGCCACACCACAGGTCCACCTGTCCTGGAGCCCCAGGCCTGGCTCACCAGTAACCAACCATTGCCACCTCCATGGAGCCCCCAGAGAGAAGTGGCCTTCCTGGGTAATCACCGAACACCTGTGCCTGGACATTTTCCTCAAAAATGAATCGAGCCTCCTGGAACCTTCCCGGGATCCCCAGGGTGACAAAGAAGTGTTGAGCGGTGGCTCCCCTGGTAGAATTGTGTCCCCATCTGGAGCCTCACTGGCCTGGACTAGGCAGCAACCTCTGACCAAGCACTTGAAATGGGGGCATCTGTCCAGGCTGGGCAGTTGCTTTGGGGCCTGCTCTTACCCCAACTGGCTTACAAGAGACTGACCTTTCTTTGAAATGCTAGTGGTTACAATTTCTGTTAAGATCCAAATGATCCATCGAATCACATGACCAGTTACATGGGTAGGGCTCGGTGTCCACTATGACTATGAGCTCTCCCCCACTCCCTCTCAGTAGCTGATACAGTGCAGGCTGGCAGACAAATTCGCAGTGGTCCCAGAATATGACTCCCAGTGGGTGCCCAATGCTATTTTCAGTGGAGCCTAGGAATATATTCACCTGGCCAGAACCATACCCCAGGACTGAGGCACCCAGGTAGCTCCTGTGTTGTCAGTAGAACACCTGGAGACAGGGGGAGGGCTTATCTTCCCTGTGGGGACGGGGGTTTGAGCTCCTTTGCTGCTTTTCTTCAGACCTCTGCCCTGGAACGGGGTCTGCAGAAGCAGCACCAAGAAAGTGCTCAGCAGCACAGCAGGATGGCATAACCAAGTCCCTAGGCCCAATCATGATGGAGATGTGCCCACCCCTGCCTGCCTTCCCTGCAGCCCAAGGACCACTCTTGTTCCCTAGAGCCCATCTTTGGTAGGGCTAGGCCCATGGCACCAGCAGTACCCTGCAGAGGGATCGTGATTTCAGGCAACACAATTCTGAACACTTGTCACGTGTCCATCTTCATACAGCCTGGGCAGGACACCAAGAAGGCACCCACCTAGGCTCCCTGTGGTTGCTGGCTCACACTCCAGCCTTCTTGTATGTCCCGACACATTCTCCCATCTTGCAGTCTGTACAAGCATAGGTGGACTCTGCCCACCCAGGCGTGCCAGGGGCCAAGCATCTCAGATGCTGGGCTATGAGTAACACTCCTGGAGGGCGTCTACCTTTTGCAGCCCCCTCAGTCTTCTGGGTAGAATCTGCCAGTGACAGATGCAGGTGACAACCCTCAAAGCAGTCCCACGCTAGACTGCTGAGGGTCAAATGTAGGGATGAGGTGGCAGAGAAAGACCACAGAGAAAAGCCAAAGTACCCTAGCTGCAGAAGGCTGCTATTGAAGATCTTGGGTGTGTAGGGCCCAGACAGACATAGAACTGGAGAAAGATCCGAAATATTTATTCTTCCCCCCCTCCCCGCCCCGGCTGCCCCCATGGACATCAGAGAACCAGGGCTTCTGGTGTCCCTGCCTACCCCCAACCCTCCTCCAGGTCCAGGTAAGGACCCTGCTCTAGAGATGGATGCCCAGAGCTGATGCCTCCTACAGGTAGCCCACTGGCTTTCTTCCAAAGAGGATGGTCCCCCTGCCAACCCAGTGACAGTGATTCTGACTACCCCTGCCTGCAGCCTGGTGGGGTAGTCAGGCTGGGTGTTCCTTCTCAGACCCCAGAACCTCGGGGCTGCTGTCCCTGTTCCGGAAGTGCTCTCTGCTTCGCTTCTTGCTGACATGGAAGCCAACTGTCTCTGCCCCTGGGGGGCCTGGTGAGGAGCCAATGCGGGCAGCCCCTGAAGGCATCACCACCTCATGCAACCCCTGGGGGCTGCTCCATTCCTCACGCTCTGGGCTTCCGGACCCTGCTAAGTGGGTCAGCTCTACAGGGCCCTCGCTCCCTGAGTCCCCTCTCGTCAAGACCCTCTTCCTCTCAGGTCTGGTCTCACTGGCCCGGGCTGGCTTGGTAAAGACTACTCGTCTTTTACCACAGCTGGAAGGGTCCTGGTTGAAGGAAGGTGTGTAGTCAGTGGGAACGGCAGGGCTCTGGGAGCCCAGGAAGGCCAGGGCAGCAGCCTGATTGCTCTGGTCGCTGGCCTCTGTCACATCCTCCAGGCTGTATTTGGTCCAGCGCTCAGGGTGTGCCACATAGTCAGGGACAGGGGGCCCCCTTGGGGGGTCAGGGCTCCTATGGGCCCTGCCTAGGCCTCCTACTGGAGGGTGGCTTGAGGGCACCAGGGGCCGCTTGAAGTCACCATTGTCACTCATGCTGGTTTGAGCTGTAGGGGGCGGCACCTGCCTGGCTGCCCCTTCCAGACAGTCAAAAATGCTGTGGCTTCGCTGGGAGAAGGTAGAGCTCATGCCTCGGAGGTGGAATGGCTGCACTGCTGTGGTGGGAGTGCCTATGGGGCGAGAAGAGGGTTCTTCCAGCTCTGGGGCTTCCCCACGCAGTACCTCTGGAGACAGTGATTCCACCTCAGCATCACCTGGCCAGCTGAGATCTGAGTCTGAGTCACTAAGAGAGATGGAGTCAGAAGGCAGGGTGTCACACTCTGTCACTTGCTCAGCCTCCGAATCTGGGGAAGGCTCACCGGCTCCCGCCTCAGCCATGTTTCCCCAGGCCACACCACACCAGTAGTTTGTCTGCGAAGAGAAAAGTGTATAGAACAGGTCTGTCTTGCAGATCCACCAGGCCTGGGCACAGCAGCATCAAGAACTGTGCTACAAAAGCAAAGGCCCTGGCCACGAAGGCCCTCCTCTCACCTGGTCTGCTGTGTGCCTCTGGTGCACAGTGGAACCTGGCTAGTTGGGCCTAGGAGCCCTGACGAAGATCCTCTGGGGTAAGGTGTTTTCTCAGGCCCAGGTGGGGAGCTGCTTGATAGGTGGGACCTGGCAGGAGAGAATCAACCATTAGAGCAAACTGCAAATAGGGCCACGAGAGAAGCCCCAACACCAACACGGGCCAGGCACGAGAGCAGGTGCTTTCGACCCCTACCTTATTTGATGCCGACAATGGCCTCCAAATAGGCATAGGACGTGGCCTACGTGGGGCTCGCTGCAGTTAGTACCTAACGTACGGTGCTGCGCGATTGGTACCGTACAAATGCCGGGCACCCCAGGCCAGACACGCAGCCTCCCGGTGCGGGGCGCTCGTGACGGAGGGGAATGGCACCCCTGCGCCTGTTTAGAGGTAGCAGGGGACTTGCCCAGGCCGCCAGGCTGAGGCTGCGGGGTGCGGCCAGCGCTGCCGGCTCCAGGGCCCTTGTCTTTAACGCCTGAGCTAACCCCTCCTGGGCTCCACTCCCGGCGGCCGGGACCCTGGTGGCCGCGGGTTCCGGAACCAAAAACACTTGGGCCGCGCTCCCCGCCCACACACGCACGGCCCTCTGGGAAGCTGAGTCCTATGCCGCCCTTGTGCCTCGGCTTCCGTGTCCGAAGAACTATAACTCCCGCTGAGTGCCGGATCGCCGCCCGCAAGTAGGCCCAGACGTGCCGTCAGTCCGCATGCGCCCGCACCGCCAACTGCTTCCACTTCTGGTGTCTGAGGCCGCCCAGGAAACCAGCACGACCTTAACCACGGAGAGGAAGGGGCGGAGCCAGTCCTGCAGGTCCCATAATGCTCTAGGGCTATCGGCCTGCAGCGGCTCCAGCGCCGCCTGCCGGAAGCTGTGAGAATAGCGATTGCCTCAGACAGGAAGTGCGTCATCGCGCACGGCGACCTAGAACCTTTTCAGAGGCGCTTCCAATTCTGGCTGGAACTGTCCACCCCTAACGCCCTCCGTCCATCTTCCTTTGGGGGTCGGGCTGACTTGGCTAGAGACCTTGGGTGGACTTGGAGACGCCTGTCTCGGCTCCTCACGCCAGGGGACCTGCTGGGCCTCGGTCCAGGTTTTGGAGCCCCGAGGCTCTTTCCCAAGGGTACTGGCCCAGCCTGTTTGTGGCAGGTGATGGGTCAGCTACCCCCTAAAAGTGAGCTCTACAGGCCTTATGCCCTTGACCACTAGGCTGCATTGTCCCTTCTCTGCCCAGGGTGCCTTAGTTCTCCTCTGCTGCTGGATTGCAAATCTAACCCTGAAAAGCTGGAGTGAGGCCTCCCAACCCTAGGGGCTGTCATCTTGGCATTCCCTGGGGGGATCATGATTCAAGGACCTGTTTTTTTCCCTGCTTTGAGACAAAAGGGAAGCAGGCTCCCTCAGCCTCCTGATCTTCTGTATGACTTTGGCATATCTTACTCCTCCTTTCTCACAACCTTGCCAGGAATGCATGGTCTTGCTTCCAGAAGCCCAATATGAAGGTGACACCCAGGCCACGAGGCAACAGCCTTGGCCAGAAGTCCCTGGGGCCTTGGAGTACCGTGGGAAATGGAGAGAAGGCTCCTTGGGCGATTAACAGACCCAGCCCAGATGGAGGAGGGGAGGGGAAGATGGAGTTCAGTGGCAGAGCACTTGCCTAGCATGAGGGAGGCCCTGGGTTCAATCCCTGGCACTGGAAAAAAACAAAAAATACAACCAAACAAGTCAACCAGACAGGAGGAGGGCTGCTGAGACCCTGGGTAGGGGACAAAGAGTGTAGACAGAGCCAATGATTGTTAAGAGATGAGAAGGAAAAGGTGGTAGGGGCAGGGGTTGCTGAGGAGATCACTTCACCTCGGAGCCTCACTTTGGTGGACTGGGTAGGCTCCCCAGTAGCAGGTAAGTTTCTTCCCTGGCAGCTCTTTGAGATATGGCCTCAGCCACCCAGCCACCCAGGAACATTTACAGGCACCTAGACAAGCAGGGAAAGAACTTTGAAATGCTCCAGAGGGAGCAGTGCATCCATTCTTCACTGTGTGTCCCTTGGGAGGGGGGGGCATGTCTTGCAGTACCACCCCCAGCACATCCTGTACCAAATTCCCTGGCTGCCCCCTCCTGCCCCTCTGGACAAGCACACCCACGAGTTGAGGTAAGACTGAGGTCAAAGCTGGTGCAGGCATCACAGAGCCTATAAAGGGGCACCCACCACATGGAGAATTTCCTGAGGGTCCAGTCCTGCCCACTGTGGCCAGCCCCTCTTGAGCTGGTTCACCCTGGGCCTGAAAAGTCCAGAGCTGAGTCATACCCATGCCAGGCTCCCTTCAGCTGCCCCTTGGGTCTTGGATGCTCTGGCACAGGAAGGGGCCCCACAGTCTTGTTAGCATGCCTGATTTTCCTTCTTTATTAAATGTCTGTTTCAAGATGTAATTACAGTTGAAGGTGACATGTTAGAAAGGACAGGTGCATTGAAGGCATAAGAGTGCTCACAGACCCAGCTCTTAAAATGTGGGCAGGAGAAGAAAAAAGATTAAAAAAGGTGAGCCATGCAGCCCACAGAATGGGCCAGGGGGTGGGCAGATGGCCCCCCCAACTTGGCCATGCTGAGCATCCAGGCAAGTGGTCTCTGGGAGATACCAAAGGGCCCAAAGCCTGGAGCAGCTCCACCCCCACACACGCCACCTACCAGTGATGCCAGCCCCTAAAAGTAATAGGCAAGTTCAGAATGAAAACAAAACCTCAGAAGTAAAAAGGCTAAGTGTAGCAGAGTAATACCGGAAACATTATATACACAGGCAGCAACGCCTGCAGCAGCCTCCGGGTCACTCTGAGGGCACTGCAGGGATCCCAGAAGCTGGAACTGCAGGGCCTCAGTACACAGAGCTGTTCCGAATACCACAGCACAGCACCATGCTCAGGATCATCTCAAAGATCTGTGGAAGGAGAAGTCTGGTCAGCACCAGAAGCAAGAGAGGGGCAGAGTGGCTGAGCTGAGGCCCCGTTCTACTCCACTCACCATGATGACAGCAACCACTATGGCTGCAATGCCAATGAGGTACAGCTTCCCAGAGAAGAGTTCGTCGATCTTCTTATGGCAGTCATCCTGCAGGGGTGGGCAATGGGTGGTCAGGGGCTGGCCTCAATCTCAAAGCACAGAGAGGACTCACAGCCATCACCCCTTCCCGCCTGAGGAGAAGTGATGCAGTGGCCAGACCTCTGCCCAGGATTTACCTTCCACTGATTAAAATACAACACGGGATCTACTGCCTGGAGCCCTTTCTATCTTGAGGTCATGATTATTGGTATCACTGGTGCCCTAGTAACTGGTATGATAGATGTTCATGGAGGGTGATTTCTACAGGTGCTGTAACACACCAGCCTCCAGGAGGTCAGGACCCTGTGTCCTCACAAATATGAGTGGAGCTATGAGTCTTCCAGATCTGCTCATGAGGCCCACCTATGAAGCTTCTACCTTCCTCTGGGCCTTGCACGCAAACCCCACCCAGCCTTTCCAGCACAGCAGGCCTGATATGGGCCTTAGTTCCATTTGACTTGCCCCACAGGGGGCCCTGTGTGGACCACTCAGAACCCAGGACTCCAGTGTGTAGAGACCCTGCTTCTGCCCCACCCACTGCTATGCACCTTCCATAAGGCATTTATGACGGTGGTGTCTGAGGGACAAAGGTTGTTCTTCAGCACGGAAGTGGACAGCGCAGTCAATGTGTTGGAGCCACAGCAGTTGAGCTGTAGAGATCAAGAGCACTGTGGTCATCTCACCAGGAAATGGAGGAGAAAAGGCCAGGGATAGGGATTTCCATCACACCACTATCCCAACATGCACCCGGACCAGCCTTCCTCCTCAGTCAGATTCACTGCTCAGACATCGCCCACTGGCCAGGTCCAAGAGGATCTGGTCACAGAGGAGACGCCCCAGCCAGATCCTGAGGTCTGGGCTAAGGCAGGACTCCTCCAAGAAGGCACACACTCCCACCCAGGTCCTGCAGCCCATCCCTGCCGCTCCAGCCCAGCCAGCCACACCGTCTCATGGAAAGTCTTCACCACAGCCTTGGCATTGTTGGCGTCATCGTCCACCACAGCCTGCTGCAGAGCCTGGTCATAGAACTGCTTCACATCCTTGGCAATCTGTGGGAGAGGCAAAGTCACGCACAGCAGGACCATCCCAAGGGCAGAGCCCTGCACTCTGAGCACCGCCCATGTGCTCAGCTCCAATGCCAACTCCTCCATAAAGCTGAGATTTATCTTCCAGGCAGACCCCAAGAAGAGTCCAAAGAGCCCCCGAAAACTATGGGCTAAGGTGACCCATGACCATAAACCTGGGCAGTGCACCCGGTGGGCTCACCTGGTCCTTGTTGACGAAGCCCCAGATGCCAGCGGCCACCTCACAGGCAAAGAGGATCACGAGGCAAGTGAAGAACTGGGAGCAGGGAAAAAGAGGGTAGGGTATTGGCAGGGCCCAGGCCAGCATGGGGCTGCCCTCTACAAAGGACAGGCCCGTGGGACCAACGGGAGTGTAGGAAGAAGTTGGCAATACCTGCCAACCCACATCCCCATCAGGAATAAGCCAAGTGGAGAAATGGAGGACAGAGCCTGAGATGCAGCCCCTGCAGCAAGATGCTGGTATGTTGATCCTCCCCACGTTGCCTGCCTCTGCAGGATGGCCAGCTGGAGTGGGGAGGATGGGGCAGGGTGTGTGTGGGGTGTTCTCAGGTGACAAGCCCAGGTGGCTGCAGCCCCTAGGGCAATGATGGCAAACCTTTCAGAGTTTTCAATGATACAAAGAACCTGCTGCAGCAGGCATGACATAGATTTGGCACCACCGCCCTAGACAGACATTGGCACAGCTACCCCCACCCAAACTGACCAGGCCCTGGACAGCACAACTGGGCCTCAGCTTCCTGCTGGCAGTTGATGTGCCCAGGGACACCTGATGTTGCCCTCAGAGTCAGATTCGATCCCTGTGACATTTATGGCCTTTTTTTTTTTTTTTTTGGTACCGGGGATCGAACTCGGGTCCTTGCGCTTGCACAGCAGGAGGCGGAACCACTGAGCTAAGTCCCCAGCCCCCAGATTTATGGCTTTTTTTAAAGAAAGAAAAAAACCCTTTTTGTAACAGCCTTAGGAACTAGACATGATGGAGATTAACCATAATGGGATTTAAGACCCCAGCAGGAAAACCAGAAAGTCAAAATTCTGGGACAATGTTAAGGCTTCCCAGTGACCCCTGATCCAGGCTGGGGAGGCTCAAGTGCCACATCCAAGGCCTGCTGGGCTGAACTGAAGCCCTTGGGTCTACCCCAATGCCCACTCTGGCCACTTTCTTTGCCTGCTAGATCCTACTTCCCAGCGCCAGCCCAGAACCCACTGACTTCCCAACCTTACCGTCCCCAGCAGACACTGGGACTCCTGTATGGCCCCATAACAGCCAAGAAAGCCGACGAACATCATCACAGCCCCCACAGCAATGAGGATGTAGATGCCTGTGGAGGTGAAGGGCCCAGGTGAGTGGCACATACACACTGTGCCCAAGACATTAGGGACTGAGGCACTGGCACCCACTACTAGCTCGCTCAACCTGGCCGCTTAAGCCCTGTCTGTGCCTCAGTGTCCTCTTCCATGGCATGGGAGGGGACAACTATGCTCAGGGGAGGGTCGGATGACATTTAAGTACCCAGATAACATTGTTGACCATGCTTCACAGAGATCTTCCACAGTGGGGCTCAGCACCCACCACCTGTGTCTGCTCCCAAATCCCTCAGGACTCATGTGAGGAGCTGAGAGGAACTACATCATTTTAGTGTGTCAAGTAACACACCAGGAGCTGTATGGTGGACTCAGATGTCGGTAGTGGGGGGCTGTGCAAGGAACCCCAGTATTGACATGTGAAGGGGAATGAGGTGAAGGAGTTTCATAGTGGCCACACAGCAGCCCCACCCCACCTATCCCTGGCCTTAGGGACACTGGCATTTGATGTGGGGTGCTCTATGTGGTTGTGCTGGATGAGGAGGCCCTTAGGCCAGAGTCTGGTACATGAGGTGGCCAGATTCATGACAGAATGGCAGGACAGCTTGAGATTGTGCAGGGGCCAGGCAACCCTTCTCATCTGCCCACATCCACTGGATGGGCAGTGCATTCCTGGAGGCAGGGCCACCAAAGAGTAGGGGCACCAAGGATCAACATGTGCAGTATCTCACTGCCCACAACCCCCCCCCCCTTTTCCCTTGGGAAAGGCCACAGTGTCTCTGCAGGGCCCTCCCAGCTCCTCATCCTTCAGCAGACTTGACCCATCCCCTGGCCACCACAGCAACACTGCAGGGCAACCCAAGCCTCTTTGCACAGAGCCAGGCCCATTGTCCCCTGCCTGACTAGCTCAGGAGGGAAGGAGCTAGGAGCCAGGATGTACTGCTTGGCTTAGAAATGGACTACATCTGGGGCCTGGCCTCAGCCAGCACTGAACACCTGGCCTAGAGGAGACTTTCCACTTCACAGGTGGCTCCTCTCTTGGGGACCAAACTGGGTTTTGGGTCTTCAGGCTCCCAAACTCCAACCTTAAGATAAGGCGAGGCATCCACCCACTGTGTCACTAGGTCATGTTCAAGGGAGGGGTGGGGATTGCCTTTCTCGGCCATGGAGGGTCCCATAAGGGTAGGAGACCCAAGCGGCTTCAGTCCTGGGGTGATCACAGCCACTTGGAAGCAGCCTTGCCCCAGCACAGCCTGGAGCCCTTTGGCATTTTCCAGGGTGCTGAGGGAGCCAGCCAACTCTCCATCTTCCCAGCAGTGTACAAAGCGCCTTTGTGAAGTCCTACTTCTGCTTCCAGCAGGGCCCAGCCCAGAGGCATCAAGGATGCCAGGGGTCCGATTTGGGAAGGGCAGAGACTTGGGAAGGATCTGAGTGGCCCCATCCATGGGGCACAGGCAAAAACCCTAGGCCAGGGGGTAGCAGGAGCTACCATTCAGCACCCAGCCTGCAAGCAGTCCAGTGCCTGGGCCTGTTCCCACACCCAGGAGGCCATAGCCAAGGAGAGATGGGAAAGTGTTTGCAGAGCAAAGAACAGTGAGAACATGCTGGTCAAAGACCTGCTTCCAATGCCACTCTGCCCTGGCATCATGAGGCCCACCTGGCAAACCCTCTCTTGTGGCACCACCGACTAGTGGGAGCCTTAGGATCCCCTTGGTGTCCATCTTGCTAAGGGCCAAAGGTGGGAAGGAGCTGTGGCCCTTCACACAGGCCCTGCCTTGCCTGTTTTCTGCACTCAGCTCACCCGCTTCCGCTGGCCCCACCTGAAGCAAGCTAAGCCTTCCACTCCTGTCCAGCCATGCCAAGCAGACATGGACCCACACAGGGACTGCTCCACCTACAAGCATAGCTGCCATGTCTTGAGAGAGTGCCCTGCCCCAGGGCCACTGTATCTCCACCCCTGCAAGACCACATGGCACAGAAGGGGCAGGGTGGGAGTAACCCTCTCCCACCGTGGACAGGAGGATGAGTAACATGCAAAGAGACTGCCTACTCTGATGGCCAAGGATGCACCTACCTGTACTGAAGGGCAAAGCCATGTTTGCTGGGAGACCTCTCTGGACCCCAAATACTCCTGATTATCTTGGAAAGAGGAACAAGCCAGGCGTGGTGACCCACATCTGTAATTCTAGCACTTGGGAAGCTGAAGCAAAAGGATTGCCATCAGTTGGAGGCCAGCCTGGGCTACATGTGAGTTCAAGGCCAGCCTGAACTGTATAGCGAGACCTTGTCTCAAAAAAGAAGAGGCCAGACAGAGGATTCCAGGCCTCCTCAGGGGCTTGGAGGATTTGGAAGATACTGGCTAGGCCCTCCACACTCTGGAATGTGGGGCAAAGCTAACAAAGCTAACAGGTTGGGCCCTGGCTAGAGCACCTAGCTGGAACACAGGGTCCGAGGGCTCTCCCTTCTCCTCCTGTGAGGGTACCAGAGCACCAAGACGGAGTAGGGCCCCACAGTTGGCAAGTGACCCTCCCTGGGAACAGCTGGGCCCAGAAACAGTCAGCCATGGGCTCCTGTCTCTAGGGAGGGACAGAGGCCATCCCTGGGCATGCTGTCTGGACCCAGCCCAGTCCATTCTGCCTGTGGGGAGACAAACAGAGAGGAAGGAATGGCACTCCTTGGATCACCCACTGGGATGACTGGGGTAGGAGTGTGTGGCCTATCAGGAGCTCTACTCAGAAGCCATGCCTATCTTCCAAGTTGGTATGGGAGCAGACCCCTTTCAGGCTCCACTTGGGAGGGGAGGACCCTCACTAGGCCCCAGCTATAGCCCTAACTCAGAAGCTCTGCCTTTAAAGGGTAGGAACGTCTCACTCACACTTCAGAGCTCCAAGGGCACTCTGCCCTCCCCCAGGACAAGGTGGAGAGCTGGCTCCTTCAGTGGGCCTCCTTCTGGTCATCCTCACTCTGGGGCTCCACCCTTTCTCACAGGGAGCCTAATAAGGCAGCAAGGTACGGAGGGCTATGTGGGGGAGGCAGCTGAGTCACAATGCCCTCCCCAGCCCCAGCCTCCAGCTGCTCCAGTGCAGGTCCAGCATCCAGCCCCACCCTGCCTGGGAGCCTCCCCAGAAAAGCCTAGTTATAATAAGCATGGTGCACCACCCCTTCAGCCCTGCCTGGCCACTGCCCTCCTGTTTAGGCCTAGCCTGAAGTGATCTGGTGGGTTTCCTACTAGCTACAGGCCCATCTGCAGCCCAACCCTCCAGCTCCAAGAATCTCTTGCTGGCTAGCTGCCTCCTGGCCAAACTACGAGGCCCTACCTCCCCTTGGAAGCCCTTCCTGACCGCCTGTTTTTATTTGCTGTCTGCAGCTGCCTGCCTTGACCTGTTGACCAGACCCTGCCCACGTGTCACTCACCCACATAGAAGGTATTAGGTGCCGGCTTGTTTCCGAGCTCCAAGTAGAGGAGGCTGGTGGTCTGTGGGTCATGGCGCAGCCACAGGGCCACGCCCAGGATCACTCCTCCAGCCAGCTGGGGAAAGAGTAGGGACAGTGTCATGAGTAGCCCACAACATGGTTCGGTGTGTAGGGACCCCACTGTGCTGAACATCCTGAGCAGGCAGCTCTAGTCAGGAGGGATGGACCCTTAGTTGGGACCACAGCTGGTTTGTCAGTGCCATCCTCTAGAGGCCAGGGGCCCCTGCCAGCCACTCTGGGATACAATCCCAGGGTAGATTGCCAGGTCAGATGCAGGGCAGCTCAGATTTACTTCTTTAGTCTAAGTGTATCCCAAATACTGAATGGTTCATAACTATACAAACGACTTTCATTGTTCTCCAGTTCCAGATTGACTAGATGTGCTGTGTTTTTATTTGCTAAATCTGGACAGAGGCCACAGCAGGACCTGGGCACCCAGGGAAACTGGGCCCTCCTCCAAGGGGTGAGGTCCTTTAGTGACTGCCAGGGGTGCATGCTGGGAACCCCAGAATGAGAACTCCAAGTTTTTGCTGCCAGGAGAAAGGGTGGAGATCTGATGCTGCTGGGGCCCTTGTGGGGCTTATGGCATCCAGGGAGCTTCAGGGCATGGCCTATGGTGGCCTGTGAGGAAATCCCTGCCACTGTGGCCCTGGGAAGGGAAATGCTGAGGGCAGATGCCTGCAGTACTCATGGAAGAGAGATTCATAGTGGGTGGCCTGGGCTGCCACAGGCATCCAGGGATAGAAGGGATCCTGCTTGGGCTGGCATGCAAGGTCCAGGGTCAGACAGAGAGACTCACATCAACTTGTAATCCTGCATACAGGTGACCATCTCTAGTCAGGTGGGTCTGTCCTTGAGGCAAGGCCTGGCCCATTCCTAATGTCCCTCACCCTGGCCCCTGTCCACCAGGCTGGGGGTCATTCCACTGGTGGTGGTGGTGCATGGGCTTATCCTTTGCCATTCCTGGTACCTGGCACCATGTAGGGCACTTTACAGAAACATGCCATCCAGGAGTGACTGGAAACCCTGAGACCTGGCTACCTCTGCCTTCCTCCAACCTAGAACCTCTCAGCTGATGCTTTTAGGTACTCTTCAGCAGGGCAGGGGGGGGTCTCAGAATAACAGGAATAGGAGACTCAGTCCCCTTCAGATCCTTCTGCTGTTCATCTGTCCCTCCCCAGGTGTGACATATAGCTCCATAGAACCTCCCAAAGCTGAGGTCACTGACTCTAGGTCCCTGATAGGGGTGAGGAGGAGTACAGCATCCCAGGTAGTTGAGGGGCAGGTGGTCAGGTCTTTATCCTACTTCCCTGGGAGGACACAAAGATCTGCCCAGCACCATCCCAATATACCAGCTGTGGCTACTCATGGGCAGGGACTTCCCAGGGAGGTGTCCCACAAAAGGATTGCCTTGCCTGGCTTCCCTGCATCTTGTCAGGCTTCTCTGCACATGCTCTCACTGAAGACCAGGCCCTGTGGGGTTCCTGAAGGAAGCAGCATGGGGAAATAGTTCAACACAGTCTCTGAGGGAGACACCAAGCCAGTGAGTACCAGGGGCAATGATGCCCCTCCAACCAGGAATGCCCACAGAGGACAATCTTCCTGGAGCTTGGTGGGAAGGCCTGGCACAAAGAAGGTCACCTCTTTGTTTCCTGGCCTCATCCTCCTATGTAAATAGGGGGTGGCAGCTCACCCCATAGAGGGTGCAGAGTTGCTGGTCAAATAGAAAGGAGAACTGAAACATGGGCCTGAGTAAAGCACCTGGCGGCCCAGTTCCTGCTGCAGTGGTCCTGGCTGGGAAGCAGGGCCCTAGGGGAAGGAGATGTGCTTAAGAGAGTGTGTAACTGTTCCCAGGAAAGCCCCAAGCAGGCCTGGGGATTCCCCAGGCAGGCTGGCTTAGGTCTCCACAGAAGTTGGGTGGAGGAGGAGCTGCAGGTTTCCAAGCCACCTTACCTCACCCTCCAAGCCAGGGCCAAGGTACTTTCCTCCAGAGCCAGGAGGCCAGGGCTTGCTCTCCCTCTACCCCTCCCTTGGGCCTGAGCTGTAGTTTCTCAGCCCCTCTTCTGTAAGCTGAACCCTGTTTACAAAAAGCTCACCACTGTGTTTTTACACTCTACTCTGGGGAGGGATGGGCCCTACTTCCCCACTAGGTCCTGGACTGACGTGCTTCCCTGTTGAGCAAACAGGGCATGTGTTATAGCCAGTGAGGGCTCACAGTGCACCTGCTGGCTGAATCAGAAATGCCTGGCAGGAGGGAGCCCGAGTGTGCCCCTCTTATGACAAGGCCCCAGTGTTGCCAGGGTCCCCAGGCTTCCAGAATCCTGTAGGAACAGACAGTTCTCTGTGCTTCTATGCCTGTCACACCCTCAAGAGGGTAGGGAGGGCCTCGGACAGTTCGGGGGAGGCAGAAGAGTAAGAGCTGGTGGGCGGCCCCAGGGAGCTGTGTTGAGCTCCTCTTCAGCTGGCTACCATCTGTGGCTCGACCAGAAGAGGTGACAGGCTGAGTTGCCCTGGTAACTCTGGTTTCCTCTGTGGCTGTGAAAACGTCATGTATTTTGCTCGGAAACTAGTCCAGAGGTTGCTCTGAAAGATGTTCCAGGCCGGAGGGGTGGCAGACAGGGGGAGCCCTCCCTGTCACTTCCTCAGTGGTCACAGAGAGCTAGGTGCAAACCCTGACACAGCCATGGAAGCCATGCAGGAGCAACTGGCAGGTTGCCACCTTCTTGTGCCTCAGTGTCCCCACCTGTGAAAAAGCTGAGCATGCCAGTGTTGGCTCAAGGGCTGCTCTATCACACTGACCCTGGCCGGGCAGGGATTGCCCTCATCCTCTCTATGCAGCTTTCCATGGGTGAAGCTGGGCACAGCACCCTCTCGCAGCAATGCTTTCCTCACAGAAACCTGTGGGAGGGCAATGCTTAATCCACCCCAAAGCCCAGTAATGGTGAACTTCAGGCACAGTAGCCACTTTCTGCTCTGGGAAGAAGGCTTTCTGTTCAGACTCTAGTGTGGCATGGAAAAGCTTTCTCCAGATGATCCCCTGAACCCCAGTTTTCCTGCCCAGCGATAACAGGGGTCTGGCCTGGGCTACAGGGCAGGGGAGAGCCTGATCTAAAAATATAGAGGGCTTGAAACCTTCAGTCAGAAAAGCAATGGGGTGGAGAGGGGGGAGGTGAGGGAGCTGAGAGTTGGGACAGGGGTTACCTACCTCACTGTCCCAAAGGCACTGCCTACCCAACAAGCCCCTGAGGGCAACCAGAGGTCTTTTTTGGTGGGAGAGGGATGATAAGGATCACCTGCCACTGGGTTGGCTGCCAGATCTCCGTCCTTCCAACTCTTGCCCAGACCCACAGGGTGGGGCCTTAAGTTGGACCCATGACAACAGTGAGGAAATTGAGGCAGTGGGGAAGAGATATGCCTCTAAGGCCACCTACAAATGCCTCCATCCCTGAAAGTGTACCTATCAGAGACCAAGATAGCAGGGCTAGAGGTTTCCAAGGAGCCAAATGCCTGAAAGAAACCTGCTCTTCAGCCACAGGCTGGAACTGGCACATGTCTAATAAAGGACTCGTGGCCAAATATACAAGGAGCTCCCAAAGCTCAATGGTAGGAAAGCCAGGTACCCAAGTTTTAAAACATGCACAAAAGACAAAAAGGCACCCCACCTAGAATACAGAGAGCACCTAAGCACTGGAGAGAGGGCTGCCCTCCATCCAGACCACTGCACAAGAGCCACAGCCAGACCCCAACCTGCCACTCCACTGGCTGAACCTGAGAGGACTTGCCTCCCAAGGCAGCTCACCACCTTCTGTACCTGTCACAGCCTTGAGAGGGCAGGGAGGGCCCAGGACAATGCGGGGGAGGCAGGAGAGTGGGAGATGGCGGGTGACCCCTGGGAACAAGCAAGTTCTGATGAAGTGTGGTACAGCTATTACTTGGATTAACCCTATACCTCCTCTGTACCCTAGGGATCCACCCCAAGTATTCACCCAAGAGAAATAAATATAGGCCCATGCAAGACTCATGGACCAGTGTTTCCAGTGCCTTTGTTTCTAAAAATCTGAAGAGTCTGTATATCTGCTGGTGTGTGACTGAATGGGCCTGGGGGTCTATCCTGTGATGGAATCTGCTTCAGTGAAAAAGCAGGGATACCCACAGCTGCACAGACACACCCCTAACCAATCATGCTGGGAAAAGAAAAGCTCACACCTTCTGCCTCCATTTATGTGACTGCTGGAAAAATGTGAGTAAGAACTGAGACACCCCAGCAGTCCTGGAGAAGAGGGGCAGGAGGGATTACCAAGGGCCCACAGGACAGGAGTATAAATGTGTCAAAACTTACTATGCTGTACACTTTGAATGTGTGTGTGGGTATGGGCTTGCGTGTGTGCTTGCACACTGTAGGTTAATAACTTCTAAATAAAGCTGTGTAAAAACCCCACACCCCTAGTCTCTGGAGACTGACTGGAAAGGGGAAAGGGGCCCAGCTGCTATGCTGGTGCAGTGTCTTCCCATGTAGCAGCTAGAGTCCCTGGTAGCCAGCTTCAAATGTCTGGACACACTGGAGTCCTGTCCACAGACCCGAAGTTCTAGTGTAAACCAAAGTCAGGGATTGCAATCACTAGGGAACATGTGTGCCAATTAAACAAAGAGTCAGCCCAGTATCTGGGGAAAATGAAAGTGACGGTGCTGGATAGAGGCCCAGGCACCAAGGCCAAAGGTGGCCAAGCCCCTGAATGCTGGGTTCTGTTTGAGCTGGTCCACCTCAGGCCAATCTCAGCCTCCATGTTTCCAGTATCCTCCTTTGTAAAATGAGGAAATAAAGGTATAGAAGCTAACATACACAGGCTGTTACACAGGATGCCATATCCAGCTCTTGAGAGCAGGGATATTATGATCACTGTTATGTCTTACAGAGACCAGAATCTGGGATTTCTTCATCCCTCTCTTTCCAGACAGAACCATACACTTGGGCTCACCAGACACCTCTCTGTTCAAAGCTCTCCTGTAGAAAGCAGCTCTGGCCACCTGCTCCTACATCCTAAGATACTCCCATGCCCTAAGGCACTACCTTGTCCTAAGATATTCCTGCTCAAGGCTGAGGGGATAGAGGAAAAGGCTCGGGTAGTGTGTGTCTGGGTTCCTAGAGGGCTCCACGCAAGGGAACAGAAAAGAGTATTCCTAACTCTATAAAGGATTCTGCTGCTTCTTCCTTCCTGGGAATTAATAAATAACAGGCTCTACTCTAAGGGGGGTGAGGGGAGCTGCCAAGTATGCTGGGTCCCTGCCCAGCTTGTCTGCTGTTTCCCAGAAGCAGCTGAAAGGGAGCAGGCTTGGGACAGTCCTCCACTCCACACCAGCCAGCAGCACACCCTCAGCCAGACCCTGGATGGGAGCAGGGGCTTTTGGCGGGGCTTTCCCATTTCAGCACACCCCACCCTACCCCACCCCACAAAGAGGCAAGGTCCTAGTCACCTCATCTGGCTGGCCTAAGTGGTCCCCTGAAATGCTACCAACACATTCCTAGAGATAACAAGGGGTTAGGGTGCTTGCCTTCCATCCCCAGCACCCCTTTCCCCCAAAAGATCCTCCAGTAGATAACAAGGACTCTCAGCCTGCCCCTCTGAGTAGCAGCCAGGCATTCATCTGTAGCCCAGACCTTTGATGCCTCTGGACAGGGGGCAGAGTCCTCCCTGGAGGACATAGGAACTCTTTCAGGTTTTCCTGGGAAGTGGACAGCCAGGATGGTCTCAAGGAGTAGAACCACCTGAGGAGGCTCAGGCAGGAAGGAAACATGGAGGGAAGAACAGGAATCCTCACCTCGGTCAGGAAACAGCAGCTCTATTCACAGGGCCCCTGAGCTCAGGAAGCTGCTGTCTCAGCCTCTAAAAATAGGTGTCAAGGCAGGGACCTAGCCCCTGGGGCCTGCTGGTTGGCTGGGGAATGTGAGGGGCCAGGACATAAGCACAGGCAGTGGAGGATGCCTACTGTCTCAGGATGTAGGGAGTGGGCTGAGGCACCCCAGGGCCAGACTTGGGGCCGGCCACCGCTCTCAGGCAGGGAAGCGAGGAGGTACCCTGCTCATCCATTTCACGTCTGCCCTCCTCTGGGAAGTCAGTCTTCCTACATGGTCCTGGGAGGAGGGGTTTACAGACCTAGTGGGCCACAGTGATCTGTCAGAGATGGGCACAGGGGGCTGCAGTGTGGCCAGGACCCCCAGAGCTGTGTACTTCAGACAAAGAGGTCTAGGTGGGCTCGGTACCCATCAGGGAAGGGCGATGAGAGTTGGGGCCTCAAGAAGGGTAGAGAGGCCCCAGGGCAGATCAGGTGTTGTTGCCAGCAGCACCCAAGAGGCCACCCACACCTGCTCCTATCTGGGCGTGGCCACCTGCTCCAGGGGAAGGACATGCAACTGACACAACCCTAAGAGCTGTGGAACCAGACGTTGAGGGATAGGTTGTGGTCCCAGCCTTGCCTAACCATTTCCTCACGTGGTTGCTTAGGAAGCTCTGTCTCCCTGTCACCCCGAGTCTGATAACAGCCCAGCATGGCAGAGTGCTATTTTGAGTGATCTGTTATCATCTCCTTGGGCACACAGGGAGAAACTGCTCCCTGCAGGCAAGGTCCACTGTGCTTCTGAGATGGGGAGCGGGGAGCAGGGCTGTGAGAGGGCGAGCTCTCTGGGACCCTGGGGGTGAGGGGGGCTATGCCTCCCACACCGCTGCCTCTCAAAGCCTCCAGGGGCCCACTACAGAATTCATGGCTGAAACCTCTGAGCCTCGGGACTGCAGCCCCAGGAGGGTGGGCGGCCTGGGATCCTCATTCCTGTACCCCTGCTATGCTGGGTACCTCGCAGCCCCACCAGGAGCTCCCTGTCAGGCCAGTGCAGAGCCAACCTGAATCCCAAACACAGATAATGGCACGGGTAACAGGCACAGGGTGCTGCAAGCCCACCCTGAGAAACTGCTGGTGACCCAGGCCCACATGGAGCACCAGGGAATTGTTAGGGTGAGATGCCCCACAGGAAGCACAGGAGAGCCAGGCCATCACTCAGCCCTGCTGCCCAGGCCTTCTCAGCAGTGATGTCATCTCAGTAACTGGGACAAGGACAAGGAGGGAAACACCAACTCTCCAAACTCTAGAAGGGACACATCTTCAAAGACAGCAGGGGTGCTGAACCCGGGCTCCGACCAACTTGGCTGGCTCCCTGCCTCCAGCCTCTGCAGCATCTGCACCCCACACCTCAGCTCTCACAGCTGCCTTCCTGGAGCACCCTCACCACTAACTCAAGGTACTTCAGACTACAAAACTCTAGGCATTCCAGCCCTAGTGCACCTCCTGCATCCCCAGCCCTTCAGCCTTCATCGGACCTGATGTTTAGCACCCTTTCTGTGGTCCTGCACATAGAACATCCATGACCCCAGGAATGAATTCCAACTATCAGCTGGCCACGGCCCCCTGGTATGAGGTGCCTTTCCCCACAACTGGGGGATCCCCTGAAGGAACTCCAAGTGGTTTCAAGTAACTTAGCAACTGCTCTGCAGCCCACCAGGTAGAGCAATTTAGGCTGGATCCAGAAGCCCAAAGTGTGTAAGTGAAGAAGCCAGGTGTCACAGAAGTCCAGGGGCTCCTGAAGATACCCTACAACTGGTCACAGCACACCCGACTGGACTGCTGAGGGCCAGCTCTAGTAAGCCTGGTTCTATAAGTAGGAGTACTGGAAACAGGGTGGGCACCTCCAGTGCTAGAAGGCCCTTCAGCACTCAGGGGCACTTGCTGGGTCCCAGGCATCAGGGCCAGAGTGACTGCCACCCAGGCTTCTCCCCAACCCCTCTTCTACCCCTCAAAATACCAGGCCTGTGCCAGCTGCTCTCTCCAAGGGCACCTGGTCTTAGCTTCATTGACTGTATGATAGAATCTCCTCCCCCTGGCGGGTTTTCAGATGCTGAAATAAGGGTTGGGAGAAAGACAGGATTAGCTTTCCATTCTGCACCTAAAAGTAGTTACTCAAGCTAAGGATTAGGGGTAAATTCAGTTTCTGGAGGCTGAACTGAGCTGGGACAGTAGGTAGGGGGAAGAAAGCCCAGTAGGCCACTGAAAGAATGGACTAGAGGCTCTCCTGGAGAAGTGGCAAGGTGTGGGCATTAGAGCAGAGCTAGCCAGAGGGGCCCTGCCTCCTTGCTCCAACTCTGTGACCTCACTGCTCAGATACCTCACAGGGGCCAGCCTGCCCAGGGACAAACCACAGACTTCCTCTTCTAGGTCAGCCTGGCCCACCGGTTGGTCAGGCTGGGTTGTGTCCCCAGAGCTGGGCAAGACAGGCAACCAGACAGCCTGGGGGCACCAGGAGAAGTCCACTTGCCCAAGCAGTGAAACCAGGCACACAGGAAGTTCCCCTTCCCCCCAGCCTGCTGGGATTGTAGCCCCTATCCAGGAAGGAAGGCAACAGTCCTGCTAAGTGACAGACAGTCATGTGCTGTCAGGAAGGGGGGATTAAGTGCCAGTTAGCAATCCCCCCTCCTTCAAGGGGGCCTGTCTGCATTGCCACTGGCCACATCAGGTTGGAGAGCTAGCCAGTCCTGGGCAGGAGACGTGGCCATTCTCCCAGAAGGGACTGTTGGTACCTCTCCTGGGCCAGTCTGTGGAGAAGACCATTGTCACACCCATTTTGTAGATAAGGAAGCCAAGGCTCCCACAGGCCAGTCGCCTGCCCCAGGACCCAGGCTGGTGCAAAGCAAGCAGGAACAGAAGATCCTTTTCTCAAGGCCTCTTCCTAGCAGCAAGAGTCTCAGGTACTTGCCCTCTCCTCCAGGAGTCCCTGGACCTATCCCAAGGGGCACAAAGCCCATGCTACTTGGTGAAGCATCTTGGTAAAGGTATCTGCCTGTTCCACGTCACGCCTAATGTTCATCACCCAGAGAGCTCAGGACCCTGCTGGCCCCCAAGATGGCTCTGGTTAGGCTGCACAGAGTGTGTAACACTGCCTGGGACTCTGGGTCTCAACTCAGGGGAAGAGAGACAGTAAGTGGAAGTACACATGTGAATATAGGCAGGTGTCACAGAGTTTCTCCCTTGGAGAAGCAGGCTAGGTAGGCTGCCTGGAACACTTCCTCCCACAAGAAAACCTTTTTCTTCTCTAAAATGGAACTTATAAAAAGTTGCCCAAACAACCATTGTCAACCTGTTCTCACTTCCAGCCTGAGCCCCTAGTACCATCCCAGGTCCAGGCCAAAGGGCACCCATAGCCCCCTCCCCAGGCACTTCCTACATGATAGCTCAGCTATCCCTGGCTGAGATCCCTGGGTGGACATCATACCCAGCAACCTTTTCCTGAGCCTACCCTGTGCCAAACCTCTCGCTCTGCAATTGGGTGCATTAGCTAATATGCTCATAACCCCTTCTTCTAAAGTGGTCTAGAAGTAGAGCAGTGGGGTGGGACTCCAACTCCATGGCACCATGGAGTTCTTAGTCATAGAACAAGCCCTGTGATGCTGGGGAGGGTAGGGGGAGCAGAGATTCTTCTGAAGGATTGTGTCGGCCAGCATCCTCTGGCTTAGCTTTGTATCCCTGGCCCTGCTGGCCCAGCATGGGTGTGAGGGTCTGAGACTGAACAGATGCAGTTCTCAGGACGAAGTTCTCAGCTCTGAGCTGGGCTGGACCCTGGGAGGGATAGGGAGAGGCTTGGAAATGTTCCCTAGAGCTCAATAAAGAGCCCCTCTGGGGATGTGATGGGCCTCCAACTCAGCTGCCTGGGAAACAAACAGACTCACCCAGACCCAGGTCCCTGGAGAGACTGCAGGGAAAGGCGGGGAGCTGGGGGCAGTGTGTACCTGGCTACCTTCAGCTCCCCGTTGAGTCCTCACTCCACATCCTAGCTAGAGGACCAGCAGAGGCACACCCTGGGTGTACATTTACATCCTACTTGCTGGGTCAAAGTAGGTGGACACTGATGGACACCCAGGGCCACACTAGGCAGGAGAGGCCCAAACCATCGGCCTCACTGTTCTTCATGGTCACTGGGATCCCAACACTGCCCTCCCTCAGCAGGCCACACAGCCCTTCCAGCTTGGAAGAATGTGATGTGCTGTCCCTCATTCTGCTCCTAGTTGAGTTCAATCCAATCTCTGCACCATACCCCAAACACCTCACTGCCCCTAGATCTACCCTGGGATCCTTGGTGGCCAGATGGAAAACAGATGTTCCCAGTCCCACACTGCTTTAAAAGTTTACTCTCTCTGCCTCAGCCTGAGAGAGACACACCACCTGGACTCAGCTCTATCTCTTCAGGGATGGAGGAGCAGCAGCAGGGGAGAACCTGTGAAGGGTGGCAGTCACAGTTCAAAACCAGTGACAACCATCCCTGAGGGCTGGGAATAGCCTCCACCCCTCCCAATTCCAGCAGCACAGGAAAGGGAAACAAAGGGCACACTCCGTATAGTCACTTCCCAGCACAGAAAACTCTATTGGAAGAAAGTACTTCTCCGCACAGACACTCCTACACCTGCCCCGACACACACATGACACATAGGTGTGGGCAGACACCTGCTTCCAAAGTGGAGAACCCAGTCCAGACACAGGAACCAGACCCATGCTGCAGAGAGACCCACCCCCGGGTCTGTAGGGTCACCCTCCGCCTGTGTCAACTCACAACAAGGGACCAGGCTGGGGCTGGAACCTATGTGGGTGAAGAGTGAGATCGGCCTCAACAACTGGGGCCTGGTGCACACGGGCCATCGGGTCCTGCCCGAGCCTGACTCCTGGGAAGGTCCCCAGAGTGGCGACAGCAGACTGTAGGTTGAGTGGGGCTGGGGTAAAAGTAGGTAGGAGGGTTTTCAAGGCTTGAGCAGAGTGTGAGCGGCCCCCACCTCCCGGCCGCTCAGCCAGGGGTTGTGGCCCCGATGAGCTCATGGGGGCGGGGCGCTGGGAGCCCCGCCCATAGCCCCCTCAGTGCCCGGGAAGCTGGGTGGTCCCCGAAACAGCAGCCAGGAAGACTGCCTGAGCCCTCCGCAGAGAGGGGTCCGGGGTACGCGGCTCCGGCCGCACCAGTGACCAGCACGAAGCGGAGAAAGGCCGGAGGCTCTGGAGTGCCGGGGTCTGGCCTGACTGCAGGGCTGGGCCGCAACTGGCAGAGGGCCGACCCCCGGCTCGCTGCCCCACCCGGCTGTCCAGCAGCGCGGTGGCCCCGGACCCTCGCCCCGCGCCCGGAGCCCACAGGTGGCCTTACAACTTCGCCGCGGTGCGGCGGCCGCTCCGCCGGGCCTAGCGCGAAGCCTGCCCGAGGTGCGGAGCTGCCCCCCCCCCACCGCGCGCTAACACCCCCCCCACCCCCCCGCCCGCCCGCCGCTCACCCAGAAGACGAAATTGAAGACGAAGAGCAAGTACTTGATGCACTTGGTGTATGATAGAATCTCCTCCCCCTGGCGGGTTTTCAGATGCTGAAATAAGGGTTGGGAGAAAGACAGGATTAGCTTTCCATTCTGCACCTAAAAGTAGTTACTC